ATTATGTGTGAAATAATGTTCTTATAAATATTTTTTTAAAAATCTTGTTAAAATGTGTGTATTTACTAAATAATAGGAACAATTGTTTTAATTTGTTCATATTTTTTAACATTTTGGTTTGCACATTAATATAATTTTTTAAAAAAATAAATAAAAACTAACAAATTTCTACCTCTGCCATAAATTACAGCCTTGGTTATGCACAGGATTTTCTGCATAACTTATAAGCGTGTACTTTTTATTGTATTGGTGTTGCACCTTTCCTGGAGCACTCTTGCTTCTCAAATTTTATTGTGAATTTATTTCCTGGGTGTCTTGCTGAGAAAGACCAGGTTCTGCTTTCGCAGGTGTGAGTGGGACCTGCTATTCTGCGTGTGTGATCAGCTCACAGGTGCTGCTGCTCTTGGTCCTTGAGTCTGCACATCCTGAAGCTCTTCTTGTGCAACAACATGATGCTATTGATTGCAGCAGCATCTTGGGAGACGATGTGAGGTAGTCCGTCTGCAAGGAGCCCTCGTGAAGCAATGGTTAAGCTCTCCGCTGCTAACCATTTGTTTAGCAATCCAGACTCACCTCCCAGCTCCATGGGACAAAGACATGGCGATCTGTTACCATAGGGCGGTGGTGAAGGTTGTTTGGTGCCAACAAGTCTGTCCTTACTTACAGCAACTTTATTTGTGATAAAACAGCACTGGCTGATCTTGTACTATCCTCATAATTATTACTGTGTTTGAGCTCTTCCTTGGGGTCACTGTGTCAGTCTTTCTCATTTTATTTTAGTTTAGTTTAGTTTATTATTTTGTGTGTGTGTACTGTCAAATCAGCTCTGACTGGTATAGGAGGAGACTACCCCTCCTCTCCAGCAGAGCATCTGGTGGATTCGAACAGCACACCTCTGGTATTGCAGTGCAGCAGTCTTTCTCTTTTGTTAACTATCTATTAGACCAAGCATAATGTTCTCCAGGAGCAGCATTGCTAACTTGAAGTCACGCTGTTTGAAGCTAGACCAGCTGCTACAGGGAGAAAGAGGAACATTCTCCTCCACTGCTATTAACTGCCTCTGAAAACCCACTGGAGGGTCAGCTATGAGTTGGTGCCTGCTCATAGTCACAGAACCAGAGTGTCCTCCAGGGACACTGGAAAATATGTCCAGTGTGTGTAAAGCAGAGTCTTACCACTCCTGCTTCTAAAGAGGATTCTGACAATTCTTAAGTCACAACCATAATTTAAATGCATTACGTCTTCATTCTTCATTAATTGCCCAGTTTTCATATATCTATGAGGGGTTCAAAATCAAGAAAGGGGTCCGTCAGGGATGTAGTTTATCCCATACCTTTTCAATCTGTGTGCAGAACAGATCATCCGAGACTCTGGGCTGTATAAGGAAGAATGTGGCATCAGGATTGGTGGAAGAATCATCAACAACCTGTTATGCAAATGACACAACCCTGCTCGCTGAAACTGAGGAGGACCTGAAGCGCCTACTGCAGAAGGTCAAGGACTGCAGTCTTCAATATGGATTGAAGCTCAACATCAAGAAAACAAAGATTCTCACCACTGGGCCAATTGGCAGCATCAGTATGGATGGTGAAGAGATTGAGATAGTTAACAGTTTTAGTTTACTTGGCTTCACAGTCAACACTCTTGGTTACAGCAGCCAGGAAATCAGGAGACAAATTGCATTGGGAAAGTCAGCTGTGAAGGACCTCTCAAGTACTGAAGTGCAACGACGTCAGGCTGGAGACTAAGGTGCGCCTGATCCATGCTATAGTCTTTGCAATTACGTACTATGCATTGGAGAGTTGGACGGTGACTAGGGATGATAGAAAGAGAATTGATGCCTTTGAGTTATGGTGCTGGAGAAGAGTGTTGAGTATACCATGGACTGCTTGGAGAACAAACAAGTTCATCCTGGAGAGGGTGATGAGGCCAGAATGCTCCTTGGAGTCAAGGATTCTGAAGCTTCATCTGACATACTTTAGTTATGTTGCAAGGAGGGCCTGGTCCTTGGAGAGGGACATCATGTTTGGGAGAGTGGAGGGACGGCGCAGGAGAGGAAGACCCTCGATGAGATAGATCTATTCTGTGAGTGGAGTGGTGGGAATGAATGTTTGAGACAGCGAGGTTGGCACAGGATAGAACGGCGTTTAGGGCTCTTGTACATAGGGTCGCTATGAGTTGCAAACGACTCGATGGCACATAACAACAACAACAATGAGGGAATTGAAAATAGCAAGCCTTGGTGTGGTTGTGGGGATTTTTGATGTTGAGATGTAGTCCATAAGAAACACTACTTAGTATCCAGATTATATGACAGAAAATTAGAACCTTAATGTACATCTTTCCTCATTTTAAATCACACGGTACCCTCTAGCTCTGTTTGAACAACTGCTTCTTGCACTATATTCCGATTCCACAGAAAAAATTACAGTAAGGGTGCCTGAGTTTGACTTCTGCCCTTTTCATGAAGGGGAACTGCCCCTATCAGTGAGGTCCGTAACACCATATAAATAGTCAGATATGCCACCCCACATGCTCCTGATTTATTTCCAGTGATTTATTGCAACTCGACTCACAGACGTCTCTCACAATTTTGGAACTTATTAGGGAACTAAGTTGGGGAGTGGGGGAGGCAGAGAATATCTCACACTGGAAGTCCAGGTTTAGTCCAGCAGTCCCAAACCAGATTAACAGGCTACAATTACTCAATTAGTGAAAGTCCACGTTCATTTCAGCAGCACAAATGCAAGAAGCCTCTGGTTTCCTCCATCATCCAGCAAACTCTGTCTTAGAGTCAGCTTTTCCTTTAATCATCCAGCAAGCAAAACCTTTAACTGTGGTCTTATCTCCAAGCTTCCTCCAGTTACACCTTGCCACAATCTCTCCACCACTGTCACTGCCATCCTCACTGTGTGGAAAGCACTTTCCCCCAATTTGTCTTACAGCTGTTGATGATTTGCAAGATCATGTATCCTTAGTTAAGGTAACTGGAGATCATCCCCCACCTCCCACCCCCAACAGGGGCTAATGCAATGCCTAGGAAAGCCAATTTACAAGGGCCCTGACACCACAAAAAGTTAACCAACAAAACCTACTCACTTGTAGCAATAATTTATTTAACTGGTGGAGGAGGGGCAGAGTTGAGATGCATAAACTCTGTGGTGGTAGAGATGATATCTTGAGCCCTGATGGCTTGGATTGCATTTTGTGCTTTTTGTTGTTGTTGTTGATGGCCGTCGAGTGGAGCACGACTCGTAGTGACCCTGTGAACAAAAGACCTGAAGCCTTTCAATGACTATTGTCATTTATCAAAGTTCATAGAGTTTTCAGAGGCATGTTGTTTAGAACGTGGAGGCCGCTCCTGCCTCTGCTGCTAAGAGAAAGATCAGTGGTTTAAAAAGATCGCCTGGGGAGAAAGATGAAGCAGTCTGCTCCCATTAAGATTTACGGCAGAAGTGAGTTGACCACAATGGGTTTCATTTTCTGTTGATATTGTATATTGTTATTTTAGTGTCTTATATCAAGTCTGGTAATTCTTAAGCTAATCAACTAACTTGGAATTTACCAATCAATGAAATGACCAGATTGCAGTAAGAAAAATTATTCTACATATGCTAATCTCTATAGTAATACATTAAGGACGGTATATTTAAAATGTTATATTGTTGTTATATATCGTGACATTGGAACCAACTCACAGCTAACCCTCCAGTGGTTTTTTGAGGCTGTAAATTACATGGAAGGAGACTGCCCATCTTTTTCATGCGGAGTAACTGGTGTATCTGAACGGTATACTTTTTGGTTAGAAGTGTGATTCTACCACTAAGCCACCAGAGCTCACTTTTTAAAATGTTATAAAGATGTTACATATCAATTTATGACAACAAATCTTCTTTGGTAATCAAAATGTCAATCTACAGTGATAGACTTTAAATTCTGATTAAAAATTAGATGGCTTAGTGGTAAGAAATTGCACTGCCAATGAAGATGTACCAGGTTCTATTCCACCAGCTGCTCCGTGGGAGAAAGATGGGCAGTCTCCTCGTGAGTAATTTACAACCTCTGAAACCCCCTCAAGGGTTAGCTATGGGTTGGTTCCGATTTGATGGTCTTCAGCAACATGTATATATTTATTTTCTAGTGAAGAAATGACATTTTTAAAAATTTTACACTAGTTTGTTTACAAACTTTGAATGTATGGTTTTAGAGAACAGATTCTTTCAATTTCCTTCACCCCCCCATCAAATTGCCAACCCCCTGATTAATCCCCCCCCCGTCCCCCTGCATATCCTCATCCCTCTGCTTCCAGCCTCTCCCACCCCTTTTAGATCCTTATACTCATTCTACAATAATGGTTTTATACAATATTTATCCTTGTGGGGCTGAGTTCGTTCACTCACCATGTATAATAAGAAAAGCTCTGTGAAAAAAATCTTGGTTCTTGCAAGATGGGAAGCAGAATATAAAATCATCCTTTGTAAGTAGAGTAAGGGCAGTGGTGGCTCAGTGGTAGAACTCTTCCCCTCCACGTGAAGGACTTTCATGGTTCGGATCCCGGCCAGTGCAGCTCATGCACAGCCACTGCTCCTTGGTGGAAGCCTCGGTGCTGCTGTGGTCCCGAAAGGCTTCGTGGGAGTGTTTAGACCCAGATGGATGAGGAAGAACCACCTAGAGGTCTGCTTCCAAAAATTGGCGATTAAAACCATGTGGATCACAAAGGTGTGATTGTGGGTCTGTGCAAGTCTCGTCAGTGGTCCCTGCTGTCATCTGTGGCTTTGCCCAGGGCAGGAGGCCCACTCTAGGGAAACTTACAGCAACATGAAACAGGATCTTTTTTCCATAATAATGGAAGACACACTTTACCTTTGCACGTAGCTCGTGAAAACCCAGCAGTGAGGAACGTGAGCCGTCCATTGTACTTGAACTTGGTAGTTAGTTATTACCAGCGCCTCCCTCTGTCTTCACCGGATAACTCCCTGTTTCCCCCTTGGTTCCCACAGTCACTGAAGCTGGATTTGGTGCTGACATTGGAATGGAGAAGTTCTTCAACATCAAGTGTCGAGCCTCGGGCTTGGTGCCCAACGTCGTCGTCCTGGTGGCCACGGTGCGGGCTCTAAAGATGCACGGGGGCGGCCCGAGCGTAAGTCCTCACCCTTCCCTCCCGTGGTGCAAACCAAACCGAGCTGAGTGTTTGAAGCTTGCACGCCTGCTGAGTCATTTCAGTATTTATACCTCTCCAAAACCTCTTCTACAAATCATCATCATTAGGCACTTAGCATTGAGCAAGTTCAAGTAAATAGTAACACCCACGTCATGATCTCTTAAGCTGTGTTTTGGAAAGGAGCATAGTGTAACCCCTTTAGTTTTTAAGATTAATATCTGACTCGGGTAGTGTTTTATAATTGCATGATAACCAGAGGAGAGAGGCCCTTGTTCCTGAAGGAAGGCCATAAAGATTAGCCTGATTGCTTGATGGTGAAGTTTTTGTACATGCGCACTAAGAGCTTTTTGGTTCACTGACGCTCAGTCCTGGCCTTGTAACTATTTACCTTTGTTCTTTATTAAGGTTTTGTGGTCTGCTTCTACTATACCATTGAATTGTTTCTAAGAGCTAGTTGGAAAGTACAAATGCTATTTGCACTAATTTAAGAGAATAGAAACTTAATCCATTTTAAAGATTTGGTATTATGCCTATCTTTTTTTTTAGGGAATTTATAGACATCTGAAAATCAGTTCATTTCCTTTTTTTACAAAATGTGAAAATTTGGTTTTTATTTTATTACTTTTTCAATTTTAGAGAATAAGAAAATTTGTATTGATTAGTCATTGGGGAATAAAACCACCTGAAATTTGTTTCTTGTTATAAGGAACCCTGGTGGCTTCATGCCTGACCAAGAGGTCAGCATTTCGAGTCTGCAGGTGCTGAGCAGGAGGAGGAATGGGCGGCTTCGTCCTGTAAAGATTTACAATCTTGGAACGCTGATGGAGGCTTGCTGGCAGTTGAACTTGACTTAATAGAAGTGCGTTTGGTGGTTTTGTATTGATATTTCTAGAGGCCTTGTTGTGGTGTGCATAAAGTGTCAGGCTGCTAAGCAAAACGTCGATGGTTCAAATCCAGTAGCCAGTCTGGTGGAGAAAATTGTACAGACACATCCCGTAAAGATTTACAGCCCCCGAATTCTGATGGAAAGTCACCGTGATTTGAAATTAGCATCTGGCACTGGATTTTTCTACTTCTCATTGTGGTTGGTTATTTTCTTTCTAAATTAGACAGACTGTTGCTGGTTTACCGTTTATCAGATGTCACATACCCACGATGATTCCATTGTAAGCAGAAACAGTATGCTCCTTGAGGGCTCACATGATGAATGCATTGCCCACCCAAAGGTTAGAAGTTCAAGATATCAAGGAGTGAAAGCATGTCTTCTGTCAAATTGAAAAAGAGATTTCTTGAAGGAATATTACAACTTCCATTGAGCACCAATTTGCGATATTACAAATTGCTCAAAGTACAGAAACTGAGAAAAACTTTTGTACAGAAGTTTAAGGAAATAGTAACCATTCGGTATGTTTTCGTTAACCTCTAGACATCCTGTCTGGGGACTGAGCAGTGCAAGCGTCCTGTGGAAACGGTGTGACTTCTCTTTCAAGGATAAAGGCAGCTTGTGCACAGACATTCTTTCTGAGACTTGCACCTTAGTTTGGAGACTGTTTCTCAGAGTCTCCCCAGAAATCTGTTTTGTTGCTGAGCAACAAACTACAGTAGAGTAGGAAGAAAGGCATGGCCGTCTACTTCTGAAAGCTCAGCCCCTGAAAACTGTGGCACGCAGTTTGGACACAGGTCGGGCCGCTTGGGAAATTGACTCCACGGCAGCCTTGGGGTCATGCAGTTAGTTCTGTTGGAGTTTTGGTTTGTTGGTTTGCTTATTTTGTTTCAAGATTAAGTAGCGGGTTTGCCATTATGAAACTTTTAAAGTAAAATTATCTTAGCGCTTCTGTCATAGCTGAATACATGGAGCCTTGGGTCTAGACTTGAGCAGTGCCGCTGACCAGCAGACCTGGTGGCAGAGCCTCGGACTTAAGTCGCAACGTTGTACTCTGTCCACCAGGCAGAACTGAATAGTAACAGGTTTTTAATGTCTTAAATATCCTAAAATGTCACTGTCGTTTCACCTGTAAAATTGATGCAGCCAATGTTTTAAGGTAGGAAGCCATAGAGTTCAGATTTTACTCAAAATATCAGTTGCTGCTACAGCTCTTTTTCCTTTTATTTAGCCTTCATTTTGTGCCCTGGCTCATTTGACGATTGATGGTCTGTTCTTTGCCGTTTATGCAGTACCCTTTAGCCTTGGAATCTGCGTACCGTCCTTCATTGTCAAGCCACAGTTTCTTGCTCTGTAAGATGTGTTTGAAGTTTCTTTCTCCCTGCTCTGACACCCGGAAAATTATAAAATCCAAAGACTTCACCACTGAAATAGGCCTTGGAAATTGGCTTTTTATGGGTAGATTTGCACAGGCTCCAAGGGATTAAGTGGCTTCTTTTATAGCGTAAGACCTCTTGCCTTCATCCCTACGTGCTTTTCCACACCCTGCTCTCAGTTGCGTAGAAATTCTCCACGTGATTTATCATCTTCTTTGTCTCCATCTATGCACTTGACTTTACAGCCGAGCTATTTTCGTCTTCATTGTCTGTGTGTCTTTGCTCGGAAGCCACAGTGTTCTCAGCCAGGAAGGACTGTCCTAGGCATAGATTTGGGTGGGAGACAGTAGCAGTAAGAGACCTGGAAGCCCAGCATTCCTCATTCGGGGCTCTCGGTGCCTTCTCCATCATAATGCTCTGTGAATATCTGTTTTTGTTTCTATCCTACTTGACTTTGAGTTCCCTGAGACGAGGGATACTTTCTTACTCATTTTTGTATCTTGAGTGCCTGGTGTTGTCTCTTTCCAGGAAATGTTTTCAATAATTGATTGATGAATGAACTTTCATCTTCTTAATCTTCCGTATTATTCATCTCTGTGTCTTTCCTTTTGAGCTGAAACAACACTGCACTAATGTTTTTGACCCATTATAATTTCTATTTCCTGTTGATAACTCTACACAAATAACCATGCCTGTCTCCTGTGTTTGTCTAGCTTATTTTTTTTCCATCGTTTGAGCTGTGGGATATCCTGTGACCCATGAACTTGCCTAGTTTAGTCCCAATCATTTTAAATTCATATCCTGTCTTTCAGATCCTCACCATTCTGGGTGCAATGCAAGAGCTAATGTTCTGTTTTACTTTGGGGTCCTAATATTCTCTTGTATTGTCCTCTAAAATTTCAAACGTATGCCCCAAACCTCTCATTCATCTGTAAAGTGGCATGAAAATACAGAATTACTAATTTTATTTACAAAGTTCAGGGTAAGTGTTTCATAATGGCAAACTTCCTACCTAGTCTTAAAAATAATATACGCCAGCTGACTTCACAGTCCTTGAAACTCATTATCACTAGTTTTTGTGTGTGAGCCCACGGTGGGTGATTTTAATCCATGGCCCTGAGGCCTGATTTAAATTGTTTTTTGTCCAACAGTCTTCTACATGGCATAGTACAGAGGCATAGTTACAGAGGTAACTCATGGTTGCTGTGTTGCTAAACACTGTGACACTGATGTGCCAAATGTGGTAATGGTTACCCATGGTGGACAGTGTTTGCTGGAGTTTCCTGATTAAAATAAGCTTGGAAGGAGGAGTGGCATCCACTTCCGAAATGGCTTGCCTCCGGAAAGTCTATGAACAGTTCTCAGGTCGTCTACGACTCAACAGCACTTAACAACAGCAATACCAATAGCGATTTTGTGAAGCATTGTTCATTTAAAGAGTTTCTATTTATTATCAGTCGTTGAGGCTCTTTGCTGTAATAAACCACTGTCCATCTAAGTGTGGATCTCTTTCTGGCTTCTTCCTTCTGTTACGCTGGCCTGTGACTTTAACAGTGGGCTCGAGCGCATCAGAGGCGGTGTGGCTGACGCAGGATAGGGCAGGGTTCAGGTTTGCTGTTTACAGAGTGGGTGTGAGTCGTACTCATATCAGTGGCCCCTGATGTTTCTAGATCCCTGCATCTGAGTTACATTGTCAGGACTAGCTCCCTCATTTGCCCTCATTCCTGGGTGCCTGGTCTGCTTCTGACCTTTTTTTCCTTCTTCTTCTTCTTCCACATGTACTTTAGATTCAGTCCCTCAAGTTCCCCAAAGAATCTTTAAAAATTTTTATTGGAATCACATTAAACCTATAGATCATTCTCGGGGAACTCTGACAGGTTTATAAGCATGTGAATAGTTCTTCATTGCTTTTGATCTTTTAAAATATATTTTAATAAAAATGTCTCGTTTGTCCCATGTAATATATAGGAATAAATCTGTATACCTGCCGTTTATCAAAGAAAGCAGTTGGAATTTTTACAAGTATAATTTCTTTTCTATCTGACTAAAGCTTTGTCGTCGTCCTGTTGGTCTTTTAGATCTTTTTTGTTCATCTCTAAAGAGCTGGCTCCAGGTTGCATGATTTCTCCTCCTTCTTCCCCGTCAACAGCCATTTGTTTTCATTGCTCTTGAGTCTACAAAAGAATTTTGCACATGTACAAGCTTAGCAACACTTTTAAAAGTGGTTGATGTGTGTTTTTTTTTTTGTTTTGTTTTGGGGGGTTCCCCCCCTTAAAAATCCAGCATTTTAGTTCTTTCCATTTTTAATCATTTTGGTTATTTCAGTCACTAGAGAATGATGCCACTCTCCCGCAGAAAATATCCATCTGAGCATACTTGACTGTGTCCCGACACATGATCAAAGAGCAAGACTGTCATCAAAGTGACTTCTTTCCAGCAGATTTTGAGAATTCCCAGGGCTGCTTTCCGCTCGGCAGAAGGGCCCCATGCCCTGTTGCTCTTGCTATGTACCATTAAGTTGACTATAACTTAGAGCGACCCTATAAACAACAGATCTGTAACTTGCCCTATCCTGCACCTAACCCTCACAACACAACCCAGGTTTCATTGTTTCTCACCTAAACCAGCAGCTGGCTACAGACAAAAGTGCTAGGACCATGTTGAAAGGTAATAAATTTGAATTTCAGACTCAACAATATTCAAGTCCTCATAGTGCCTCTCATTCGATGTGTAACTTTAGGCAGACTATTTGCCTCGTCTCATAATCAGTTCCCTCATCCGTAAAACAGTCTTCTGACCCCATACTGATAATTCTAAGGAAATGTTGTTATTGTTGTTCTTGTTGTCATGTGCCATTGAATCGATTACAATTCATAGCCCCTGCATGGGAGCCTGTCCTTGTCCTATACAACCATCGTCACAATCTCTGATAATGACTAAGTCCATTGTTGTAGTCGCTATAATAGTCCATCCTGTTGAGGGTCTTCCTCTCTTTCACTGACACCCTCCTTTTTTCCCAGCATGATGTCATTTTTCTGGAGATTGGCCGCTCCTAACACCACGTATGTGAGACACTTTCATCATGTGTACCTCTAAGGAGCGCCATACTTGTACTTTTTCCTAAACAGACTTGCTTGTCATTTTGACAGTCCGTGGGATATTTGGCACTCTTCTCCAGCATCACAACTCAAAGGCATCGATTCCCCTTCAGCCCTCTTCATTGTCCAGCTCTCAGATGCTTAGGAAGCAGTGGAAAATGCCATGGCTTGGGTCAGGTGAACCTTAGTTTCCAAGAAACTTGAGAGAGGGAAAAATCATGGCAATGACAATAGATTTATTTAGAATTGACTTAGTATGATGATGCACTCTGTATGAATCAGATATTAATCAAAAGTTCTGTTTTGGGATAAGGACAACAGAACAGAAGTTGAGTTCTTGGCACTGGCTCAATGGTCTTCACTTGGGGAGCTTTTAACGGCACTGATCCTCCTGTTCTAATTGCAGCATTTCTTGAAGCGTGTTCCGGCAGGCCTGCAGCTACTGGTTTAAAGAACAAAGCGGGGCTGCTTTCCCAAATATCTACCATGATGATTTTTTTTCTTTCAGACCATTATTAGGTAGATTAATTTTTATTTTCCTTTTCTTTTCTTGTTATGCACTGCCAAATTAGATCTGACAGACACAGAAGGAGATTTCCTCTCCTTCTCCAGCAGAGCATCTTGTGGATTCGAACCATGTGCCTTTGCAGTGCAGTTTCTTTCCACTAGGCCATCAGAGCTCCTGGATTAAATTTTATAGACTATTTCTTAATGCTTGTCTCTTTGAATTTCAGGTCACTGCTGGTGTCCCTCTTAAGAAAGAATATACTGAGGAGGTAAGGGTGTTGTTTTCAACTCTTCTGTAAAGGAACGGTCATTTGGATCCACAAGACATGGGCTTATGGTTGAAACAGAATCAGAGAACTAGAGGCACTTGGAAAGTGGTCTCTTAGCAAAAGCACTTTTGTGATAATCTGAGAGAAAATGGGTCTGAACCCAGCAAAGAAAGAAAATTAAGTCACTGCCACTGAGTTGACTCAAACACATGGTGAGTTTAGTGTTAGTGGAGTATTGCTGTGCTCCTTGGGGTTTATTTGGATGTGGTCTTTACAGACATCATGCTTGGAAGGGTGGAGGGACAGCACAGGAGAGGAAGACCCCAGGCGAGATGGAGTGACACAGTGACTGGGAATAATGGGGGTACATGTCAGAGACAGTGAGACTGGCTCAGGAGGGCAGGTTTCAGAGCTGTTGTGAATAGAGTCGCCGGCTCCTCGATGGTAAATAACAATCTTTACAGGTGGTCTCTGAGTGGCACACACAGTCTGTGCTTGTCAGTCCATATAAAGGTTGACAGCTGAAACACACCCAACACTGCCACGGAAGAAAAACCTGGAATCCTTCTTCCCTAAAGATCACAGCCATGAAATCACTGCTCTTTAACCTTGGGGTCACTAGGAATCAGAATCGACTGGGCAGCAATGAAAGGCTTTTGCTTTTAGTGTTTAATTTTTATGGAAACAGGTCACCAGACATTTCTTCTGCAGTGCCATGGGTGAATTCAAACCACCCCATCTGTGCCATCCAGAAAATCCATTCTTTTGGTTCTTTGCCTTCATCTCCAATTCCCAGCCTTGACTCGAACCCTGGTGCTGTCGGAGCATGAGCTCATGGTCTCGAGGGCAAACAAAAATGGACACTCATGACCTTATCGTATGTTGCTGTTGTTGTCATGCACCATAAAGTTACCAGTGACTCATAGCAACTCTTTACAACAGCTCTGAACCCTGCTCTATCCCGAGCCAGTCCCACTGACTCCAGCCCATTTAATCCCACTGCCCCAGTCACTGTGTCCATCCATCTCATCCAGAGTCTTCCTGTCCTGCACTCTCCCTCCACCCTTCCAAGCATCATGTTCTTCTCCAAGGATCAGTCTATCCTGGATACATGCCCAAAGTGTGTGAGATGGAACTTCAAAATCCTACCCTCCAAGGAGAAACTCTCCAAGACAGACCTATTTGTTATCTTGGTGGAGAATAAATGCTATTTTCAGTATGTTGTTGTTGTTATGTGCTGTTGAATTGCTTGCAACTCATAGCGACCCTATGTACAACAGCCCTAAACTCTACTCTGTCCTGTGCCAGTCGCACCGTCTCCGATACACCCATCCCGATTACCTCAGTCACTGAATCAATCCACCTCATAGAGG